AAGCAAAGGAGAGTGGACCACCCACTCGTAGAGGACTTGTATTTGTGCTCTTTTCGTTTGGCTTAATCGTAAAACTTCTGTTTTCGATGGCATCGGCGACAAGCCCACTACTCTGGGACCAAGAATCGTCCTGACCCACCATCCCGCTTTGTTTTCTCTGGCTTTATTACAGCTGCCTAGCTCAGAACGTTATATGTGCGATTCTATGGATATATAATGGCGAGGGCGGACGGAGAATGTAGTTAATAATAGAGAGATAGAGTTAAAAAAAGTATGCTAGCTGATTTAGAGGTTCCCGGGGTTATTTGAAGGAAATCCAATACCAGGGAAGCCTGATAGAGCTTAATTATTTGTTGTACCTCCAAAAGTATGTAGTTAAGACTTAATTATTGTGCTTTAAAATGAGTTTAATATTTAGTATACTAAATACAACTTTCTGACCAGCCCTCGCATTGGATAAAAGTACGGATTCCGTTGGCGCCACTCTCCGGCGTAATTGCGCGGCGGTTCGTTTTGGTTTTCGCTGGTCCGCCGTTCGCTTAATGCTTTCAAGTTTCAATATATCGTCGATGGGCGCCCACATACTTCAGCTGCAGATAGCAGATAGCGCAGTTCAAGGCCCGTCGGCCAGTGGTTAAGCCCCCTAATTGCGTGGCCCGTGAGGCCAGATTCGAGTGTGTGTAAGTGTCCCAAAAGTGTGTCAGATGTGGAAAGCGGGCAGAATGGGTGGGATTCGGGTGATTCGGGGGAAGCGTGTGTTGCAATTTCTGAATCGCTTAAGTTGTTGCTGTTTCTGCGGTCGATTTTCCATTAAATCGAATCGTCCTGGCGCTCGTATTGGTTTTGCGGTCATATCACCGCCGTCCGGTGGTCATCTGGCCCAGCTCTTCAGCTCTCCATCTTCCCCGTTTTCCCATCCAATTGAGAGCCCCCACCACATCATCGGCAGTTGTAATGGCCGTGGTCTTGGCCATCGAGTGTTTTCGGTAGTCAAGGAAATGGACTGGTTCCCCCGCTAGGGGATTCTGACCCTCAGCTTTTCCGAGATATCGGAGGACACAACAAAGTTGCTCAGCGCATGGTAATTCCGTTGGCAGTGCATATTTTCCTTATGTGTTTTCCCCCAATAAGAGCCAAAGTTCGGAAATGGAAATGAAGTTATGCAACAATGTTCTTGCCATGCCACATGAATTATTATCGCTTGAGGAGGAGGTTTGTCAAAGTTGTATTATGATGTTTAGTGTTTAGTTTTTGCCCGAGGCCCTCTGAAGAGGCTCTGCGATTAAGGCCCACTTTCAACCCGTTTCGGTGGCCTTGATGTTGCTGCCGACCTGCCCTCCGTGCGGCTGAAGGTTTGCCTCCATGTCCTTTGTGCACCGGAGTGCAAAACTTTTCAATGGGCAGCCGAGTGGAATTGACTGCACACGTAACCGAACCAAGCCGAAACGAACGAAACGAAACGAAACGCAGGAAAAGTGCTCTTGGCGATGCCAGCAGCTGGCTGCGGGGCTTTTTCCACTCCTTTGGCAGGACTTTTAACGAATTTCATTTAACAAACTGAGGCTCCCCGGACACATAAAAGGTGTCGCACCAGAAAAGGCGAAACAACGACCACAAATGCGCCAATTGTGTGTGTTATTTATGGATGTGAGTGTGAGTATGTATATGTGTAAGTACAGAGAGAAAATGAAAACGGCACAGTCAAAGGATGAGTCATTGCACAACTATGGAGAGAAGCTTAAATAAAACATTTTTATGTGTTGGCCAGAAGACGCACGCTTTTTGAACAGTGCCGAGCTCCTAGAGCGCTCGTTGATTATTTATGGGCCACCGAAAACGGGAACATTCATTAAATTTGTATACAACCGACGAGTATGAGGATGTTGGATGTTTATGCTGCGCTTGTGCTAGTAAATTGGTACATTCTATTTAGGGTCTTCCCAAAGAATGGGTTATGAGCGACCCCATTTTCCCTTCCCCCCTCGTTTCCTTCCCCATTTCCCTCATCATCCGGTGTACATACTCGTTTACTCATTAGCGCGTTGCCCGTTATCATCAATTTGCATTAAATAACGAAACGCTAAAAAAGTTTAACGACTAAACAAATTGCCAACTCCCCAACACAGTCAAAACAACAACAGGCGCTGGGTGGGGATTCCCCATTTGCCGTTGATTAACAGTTTGTGTGCTGTTCCCCTTTGCCCTCTGAACTCGAATCCCCCAAACCACCCTTTGGCAGGAAAGGGTGTGCGTGGGTGGTGCCCCTTGATGTATTTATTTATGCGACACGCGAAATGATAGATTTCTGCTCTCCACATATTTATCAAAATGAAAAGCAGAAAGGAAAGAAGAGGAACGAAAACAAAGCTCAAGGGAGCTGGCATATCCGAACTGGGGACGCCGTTGCAGCACTGCGAGAAATATTGGTAATTTCACAACGAGAACATAAAAATGGCATTCCTGCATGAAGGACATTGGATATCCTTCGATGAGAATAGAGATTCACAGAGTTCCCAACTATCCAGCTTGGACTAAAGGAATCTTGAATAGAGAATATAACGTACCCTCGTTAATCCCTGTGCATTTTCTCATATATGGTTAGTGGCGTTTGACTGAGTTGGGGCAGGCCATGTGGCACTTTGGTGGCACTGCAGGGCAGCGGGAGCAGACATTTTTTGTTGGCCTTTCAGGCAATGTCAGGACGCGAGTTGAATGCCAAAAATGCGCTGATAAATTATATGACATGGCATCATGTGTCACCCAGGGAGGGGAGGAGAGGATGCCAGAAAGTAGGCAACGAATCGGGAATCGGGAATCGGGAGAACAAACACAAATAGACGTGCCAGGCTTCGAGGAGACGACTCCGCGCTGAGGTGACTGTGACGGGCTGTCAGATTCGAGAAGTGGGAAATAATTTGAATAATCCCCATTGTTGGTGGAATTTGTCTAGCTTCGCATTCGCGGGCGGATGGATCTGGATGTGAATCGCACCTGATTGCTGGCGGGGAATGCTCTGAAATATTTCATCTTTATGGCTTTAATATCCTGTGTGGCTGCAAGCAGCTGCCAATATCCTGTCTGCACTTTGCTAAATTTCGAGGGATCAAAGCGGAGCCTTCCCCCAGATCAAACATATTAACTTAATATTTCGCCACCCCCTCCCTCCTGACGTTTCCAACAAAAGGGAACGTTATATGAGCTTGTTTGTATGGGTATGAAATGACATTTTAATGCCACGTTATATTTTCATTGTTGTTGCTGTTTGTCACCGTCGTCGTTGACGTTGTTGTTGTTGTTGTTGTTGTTGTCGCCATCATCGTCCTAACGCTGCGCCCTCACGTCCTGTGTCCTGTGACGCAAGGATTCAGTCGGCGAGCGAGCAGGGAACGCTTTGTGGCAACATGTAAAATCCATTTATTTTGACATGAAACACATAAATCTATATTTGATCCATTTCTTTCTCCTCAACCTTGCAGCCTTGCGGAGGGAAGAAGGTGTGAAGTCATTTCCTTGGCTATACAAAATCCCCACCCGACCGTCTTTGTCTGCTTTAAAAAATCAAATTTGACGTTTGTTATAGAAAATGACATTTATGCCTTTCAATTTCACGTTGCGTACACACCCGTTCCTAATTGAACTTAGCCTCGGATAAGACCCTGAGTGCTCCGGATCGTTTGGCGTATGGAATCACCCGGAATCGAACGGAATAGGATCTAGTTCGCCTGCCAGCTATGATGGGCTTCCGACTCCTGACAGCTGCACACTGCATCATTGTGGGCGAGCGTCTGGCAATCGGTGGTTATGACCCATCCAGCATAATTGATGGCACAGAGTGTTGCAGTTGCAGATACTCGGGCTGCTGATGCACAGTGCATCTAGCTGCAACATAAACACAACGCCATTCCGACTGCCACGCCCTCCTGGGCCCCGCCCCGTGCCAAAAACAAGTGCGTGTCATTAGCACTCTTCATTTTGGCCAAGATCTGCCACAGTGCGGATTTGTTTCGGGCTTGCCATATCGATTTGTTGACACTCGGGTCTTAAGAGCTATATGTGCTCGATGGTTTTGCTAAGTTTTTAGGACAGTCGTGATAATGTTCCACTTCTTGCTCAGAAATGAAAGCTAAAACACTCCTTTGGCCACTTTCGAAATGGGTAACTAGTATAGAGCATTCCACACTCGACTCTGAAAACTGTTAATGTGAATTATGTTGTTAGCAATGTTGCAACAATATTTGCTCCGCAAATGTCGTTTCGAGGCTTGCCACGAGGGAGGGCTCTAATTCTAGATGTGATCCTGATGCCAGGATGCTGTTCCTGCTCCTGCTGCTCTGCCGTTGCTCTAGCAGCATGCTGTTTCTGCTTGGCCTGCTCTTCGATGATTAATTATATCGCTTTTGTTCTATTTCTGCTGCGTCTTTTGCAATCCAACTGAGTGTGCCACTATTTGTTATTGTACGCGTTCGTGTGGGCGGGAGCCCGTATCTCGTAGCTCGTATCTCGTATCTGGTATCTGGTATAATTTATACGTATCTGCGTACTTATGTGCTGTATGTACTTTATCCCTCCGCTCGCATGTACAATTTACATTGTTCGCCGGCCCTGCATTCAAACAATGCGGTTAACACTCCACACTCACACGTTTGTTGTATTTGACATTGTTTCAAAAGTTAAGTTGGGCTGTGGCCACATCAGCTCACAACTTATGCGAGTCTGGAACAGCCGTGTGCGTGTGAGCAATGGAATCATAAATCTGGCACGGCAATTGTAATCATGTCCTCGACAACGGGCTGGGGTTAACGTGAGCAGTTAACTGGTAGCTGCATCTGCCCAGAGCGGCAGGTCCGAATAAATATTTTACACCAGCAGAAACATGCAGATACAAGGCCATTTCAGCACAGAGGAAAAATGTAACTTAAGTCTTAATTATTACAAAATACATAAAATGTTCTGGATTTGTCAAACAACCTTTTGTTAAACAGTATACAGATGCCTTTGGAAAGACTTTCTCGACTTTCAGAATCACAGAGTTTTAGAACAGCTTTAGAGCCGTACAAAATTATTCCGTTGAAAATACATCACCAGCCTAGACTATATCAAAATGGTTCCCACAAGACGAGTTCGCTCCAAGGAAAAGAAGATAACCTCCTCTAAAGTTCCCAAAACAAATCCCCAGCAGCAGCGTTACCTGAAAACCCGCTTCAGGAAAACTAAGCCCGTAGCAAAACAATCTTCTGTGCCCCCGAACCAGAGGATCTGGCGAAGGACTGCGGTTCAGACCAAGCCAAAGGTACACAAGAAGCTTCCCAAGCTATTCCGCATGGATAGGCATACAGGACTTCCCGTGGACTACGAACGGACTGTTCAGCGGGTGATGCACTACGTGAATCCCCAACTGGCCAATCGGCCTAGTGCCGAAGGTGTTCTAGAGAACTTACTGGCCAAAGCTTTGGTCGAGGCGATGCGACAGAGCGACGGCGGTATGATGCAGACCACCAATATGCAATCCTTGTTCAAGGGCCACTGCAAGTGCCATAGGACGAGGCTGTTGCCTAGTGTGAATGATAGCAAACGCGAGGCGAACGACAGTTTGAGCCAATTCCATAGCGCCTGGTAGGTTGGAAAGGGTATATTTTAAGGTACTTAATCACTCACAATTTTCATTAGCAAACGGGGGCCGTGTCCATCTCCCAAGCCTAAACTTGGTCCCACCTACACGAGTAAGTTCAACTTCAACCAGCTGAAGATCAAAAGCTGTTAGATGTGGTGGAAACCTAATGTCGAAGGTGTCCAAGGATGTATCGTCCCAGTGGAAAGAGAGTCTATAGATCTACATGAAGCTTTGCAATAAATAAATCTTATACTTTTAAAACAGTTGTTTTACTTTATTGTAAGTCCTTGCAATAGTAGCTGTGAATAAACTCGATCAAATGATAAGGAATTTAGTCTATAATTAGCATCAAAATGAAACGAACTGATGGGATTTCCTAACTATAAATAGTTTTAAGTCAAACTCGATGGAAATTCAATTAAAGCCCCACCTGTGCGTTTGACTAATCTGGTTATGAACTCGAAGTCCTTAAATTGCAGAGGCTGCCTAATGAACAAATTCCTTCGCTCCAGCGCTCTCTGCCCCCTTGTGAACGAGTGCTTCACCTTCCACGTTTAAATGGCCTCAAAGGCAAACATCAACATTGATTTAAATGGAGATTCCAGGGCTGTGCCCCAAATTAAATTTGGAAATTGCATTACTGAACGAGTGTTCAAGTTTGTGTGGGCCTGCAGAGCAGAGCTTTGCTACATTTTGTGTAGAGGCTCTCGTAAAAATAACAACTGCCGTAAATAAATTCGTTCAAAGTGCAATGTCGAATGGTCAGTTAGGGTCGTTCTGCTCATATCTATGGATTTATTTGCGCTGGCAGTGCAAAAACCAAATGAGATTTATGGCCAGGCAGTCTGTATTGGTGGCTGTGTGATCCGTCGGGGTCGCCAACTGCTGGCCGCTGTTCATCCGGACAGGCAACCACACAGCTTCAACCCTGGCAATTATCGCCACAGACAATGGCCCTGGAATGCATTTAACAAATTGAATATAAATTTCTACCTTTTAGCTTCGCAAACACCCAATCAGTGGGCAAATCTTTTAATTAAGAAGTTTGCTCGCTCGAGGCGAAGCGAGGCAGCCGGAGCCCTCGCCCCTACCTGGCATAATAAAATTCACGCTAAACTTAACTAATTTCGCGAAAACTCGATTGAACGTAAATAAAACCCAAATGAAAATTTCACAGCAAGACGCCTTTGCCTTCGCCTCGGCCTCGGCTCTCCTCTTTCTCTCCATCCGTGTTGCCTTTGGCTGAAAACGCGAATCAATGCGTTTGCGAATAATTCATAAAGGAGCAAAAAATAATATCAGTCGAGCGTGCTAACAACTTGGCAGCCACGCCCTCAACCACCTCTGCCACCTCCCGCTTTTCACCTTCATTTGGAATGGAAGGCGAGGCTGTCGGCTTTAGTTATTGATGAGGCTGCTGTGCGTGTGCCGCCTGAAATGGCAGGAATGGCGCTTTTGCGGCATTACGTATACGTAATATGCAATCAATTCGCGCACAAAGAAATCTGTTCGGTTGTATGCAGATTGCATAAAGGGTTTTGAGCCTGCTCGGACAGTAAAAGCTGCTTTCAATATGACACGGCATGTCTGCCATCTGCAGAGAGAAAAACACAGTGCTCTCGATCTGAAAGTGTGTATAGCAGGAAGTCAGGGGAGTTATTTTCATCTTAAAATGAAGCTATTCAATGTGGAATTTCTTTCTTGTCCGATGGTTACTTTATGGCATTAAGAAGCCCATAACACAAATCCCAAACCATGTTAAGACTTTAGTTAACCAGCCTTCACTATCCAAAATGACCAATATTCCTCATTTTGACCTCGTTTCACGATGCTTTTTTGGAGCAGTGCGCTGGTTGGAGAGGCTATCGATGGCGGGGAGTGTTGACAGAAGCGCGGGCCACGCCCATTAGTTATTCGCTGGAAATTATGCCAAAGTGTTTGGCCACACACCCACTTTGCCCTGGGTCCTGCGTCCTTCGTCCTTCTTTCTACGCCCCACAATGCTACTCATTGGGCGCGACAGCTAAAAAGCCAGCTGCGATGCATTGATGTCAATGATGGCGACAAGTGCACTCCGCTTCCTCATCCGCATCCGCATTGTGCCGCTGTCAGAGGCGGGAATCGATCGAGTGGCTGGTGGCGACGACGATGGCCTAGAGGAGGAGCTATTGGCCAGGGATTGGGGCCTGGGGCCACTTGAGCCAAGTTGACAGACAGCTCGCAACGAGCGCACATTTAACATTGTCTGAACGAGTGCCATTGTGGAGCACTTTTGCCAGCGGAGAGGAGATGGAGCAGCCGCACTGCCAATATATTTTTGCTAGTGCCTCCAACCGGCAGTCGGAGTCCCGTGCGTGCGGAAAGTCGGTTAAGCGTCTGGTAAATACGCCAAGTAGCCAACTAGACCCAGTAGCCAGCTCCCACCTCCCACCTTCCACTTCCCATCTACCATTTCCCGGTCCCCATCCGGCGGGGCTTTGTGTGCACTAATTTCAAGGGGCAGCTCCATTCCGGAGTGGATGCTTCTCCTCTGGCATAATTTGATGCGTTTTTAAAGGCAATTCCACGCCGTTTTGCGCAATACATTTGCCGGAACATTGCCAGCTAGCAACTTTTGACCCGAGGAAATGTACTCGTCAATGGCTTTGCCAAAGGCTTGGCCAACTTGGCCATCCTAATCGGGAGCACCAAAGCAAAGACGACAGGGTAAATATTCGAGTGGATAATTATGATGGCGTTCTGCTTACACTTGCTGAAAAAGTCCATCTAAATAATAAGGATTACTGCTCACTTAATGGTATTAAGTTAAATCTTTCAACACCTACTACACCTGTCCAGGGATGATATAAAAATCTCTTATATCGAATAATTCTACAGAAGAAACTATTTACTTTTGGGGATACTGATTTTTCTCACGTGTAGACATCAAATCCAGAAGAGGCAGTTCGTTCCTTCTGGGCTGGGCTGCCAACTTAAAAATGTATAATTTAATTTTGCGGAAAATAACGCTGCGCGTGGCCGCTGAATATTCATGGCTAATTTATCAGCTGTCCTCCGCGCTGCGACTGTGACTCTTGCTCCGGCTCTTAATTAGCATTTACAAGAGCTAATTGGCATAAATACCCAAGGAGCTGGACGGAAAGGGATCCTCGAGAGGCTGCTCCATTTGGCGCTGGAGTGCCCGTGCCTTTTGGCCCGGGAATCCATCTTGTGTCGGATGACCAAATAGATGGCTCAATCTCCCAGAGACGCGCTATTCCCCCCACTCAAGGCGTGTTTATTTTGGACAAATGTGTGTCCACTTACAGCTTAGCAGGAATGCTGAGAAGAAATCGTGTTTGCCCAGCTCATTGAGCGGGACTTACAATCCCCAATCATCCTTATCCCCGAGTGAAACGCGCTATTTGCTAGAGTCCTTTATATGGGGCGTGCTCCGACCCTTGAGAGCTGAAATCTTGCTGCAGTGTCTTTGGAGTCGTGTTTAACTTTCCTCAAAAGTTGACTTCTCCGCGGAAACCTATCTGTTGTTGTGTTTCAGCGAGTAAAATCATTGCAGTTGAAATAAAGAACTTTATTTAAGGAATAACCAGGAAACCATTCCATTTTAGTTTAGAGAAAGTTAAATGTTGTAGCCATTTTCTAAGGCGATTTCTTATACCCGATGCTAGATGGACTTGGTCAGACAGCTGCTAATCTCTGCTGTTTGTTGCCTGATGTCATGTTCCAGTTGCTTCTGTTGCTCGGTTTGTTTACCTTGATTTTCAGGCCTTTCTTGAGAATGAGATCTGGAAAACGGACAAGGGGCTGACTGGCGGCGACAGATGGCGGTTGTCCTGGTCACTTGGGGGTGTTCCTCCGTGTTGCCGCCTAGGTAAACAAACTAGTGACCCCCGTCGCATCCGTCAGTGGCATTGTAGCCCGTTGTCCTGTTGCTCTCGAAATCCACCATCCGCATGATTGCTTTTGTTGTCTCGTTGCTGGCGTGCAACAATATTGAGATATCGTCTCAAGTGTAAATTGTTATTGACACTTTGCGTGGCAAACGCTCCAGTTGGGTTTGGCCCCCCGTTCTGCTGTTCAGCAGAAATATCATCGATGCCATCGCCACCATCGCCCACTCATCGAGCTGTTCCTCCACGGCTGTTGCTTGTTTACCACAGTGTTTGTTTGCTTTGTGCATTTGATCAGCGACAAACAACAGGCCAGATGTCCAGACTTCCTCTTGGTCTTTGCTGTGAAATTTTAATTAAACTGCAAAATTTATTTCCTCCTCTTTATGGCGCATGCAGTTAATTAAAGTCCAGCTGAATGCATGGAGACATGAGAGAAGCATTTCGAATCTCTTAAAGCCTCTTAGTCCGACGAGATGGATCTGCATGTCAGGGAACTTGAGTAGGGTTCATTGTCTCTAAGTCAGGACCTGTGCTCGGGCTGACCTTCATGAGTCAATTGTACAGACAAACAGACAGCCAGAGTCGGAAGGCGATGATGATTGAATGGGACATCATCTGCGAACCCTCTCGTAAGCTGGAAAATTCGCAATAAAGTGAATCGTTTCCTTGAGCTCATTTCAATATTCTGTTTAAGCATTTTATAATATTATCATTGTGCCTTTTATATTAAATTCCAGGCAGCCAGCCTCGGATGACGACGCACGACCAGCAGATTCATTTTTTATGTGCCATCCTTGGCACGACGACGACGACTCGAAATCGTCCTTTGGGCTGAGTATATGTTAATAAAGTGCGTAAACTCGACCAAAATATGTACATTGGAGGCCTGGGAAATATGCATGATTGTGTTTCCCCCATAAAGCAAACACACGTACGGCCGGGAAACACTCGCATGCTGCATGCGAGGAGGACATAAACCAGGCCGAATGACAAGAAAATCGTATAAAACCCGTCCGTTCTGCCCGCCGGCAGCCGTAAAGTGCAACGCAGTCGCAAAATAAAGAAATATGGAGTCAATAAAGGCGAATGTCCCTCCTCCGATCCGATAGGGAAGCAGGCAAATTGCAATTTTCTTAAGATTCCAGAAGGAAGTCGTCGGCGGCGGAATTAAAGGCATCCTCCTTTGGCCAATTTCCTTTAATTTAAGCATCTAACTCGAACATATGATCGAAAGAGGTACTCTTTTGAATTTAACGAGCTGGGAACCTCGCTAATCCCCTCTTCAGAGTTTTCCCTCACAGAGCCCAACAATCCCTCATTGTGGGCTAAGCCTAAAACCATTTCCAATCCAGCAACTTTCTA